CTGCATGAGTCTTCCTGGGCCATCCACAGCCTGGATGTTCTCTGCTACTCAGGTTAATGCTTCAGCACTGTTCAGACCAGGAATGGGCAGCATTTATAGACAGTACATTCAGCCTAACACTGCCACATATTGCTGGTATAATAAAAGTTAGTATGGCTAATCGGGATGTACCATTCAGTGTGGCGCAGGGCCATGGATGGCTGGTGACCCTCATTCATTAAACATCAAAATTGATTTATGCTCTAGATCAGTGGTTCCCAAGCCAGTCCTCATGGCCCACCAACATTCAAGAATTGATGTCTTTCCCTTTATTCCAATGGAGATACTGACAAAACCTAGACTGGTGGGGGGGGTCTTGGAGACTGGTTTGGGAACCACTGCTCTAGATTTTAAACGAATTTGTGTCACATTTGTAAGTTTGTCGCATTTGCGGTTATATACCCACATTAAAATTATAAAGCACTGCAGAATATGTTGGTGCTAGATAAACGCCAATGATAACATTAAGTAGTGGGATGGTGCCAAGTGCTTACAGGCACAATAACCATATCAATGAGATTAAGTGGTTATCGTGGCTAGAGGATCCCTTTAAAATGACTCTCTGGATACCAGCACAACTTATATGCAGATTAAGTGTATTTCATAGATTTTTGGCATTAGTCATGCTATATTTCTCTTAATCTTGCCCCTTTCTCCAATGAGAAAAAGGTTGAGTTATAAATGACTTTCAGTTAGTTACATATTTGTATAATTTCCACAAAAGTAATGTTTTCCCTTTGAGGGAATATGCATTAGTTTCTTTGAGGGCCTCTCACTGGCAGTCATTTGGATATATTTAACTTAATTCTTTCTTGTAAATGATTACAGTAGAGGCCCAGGCAACCATGATCCTAATGCGAGAATTGAACACCTGGACCACAGCTGACGAAATTGGATGTTTCAGTTCTCACGACATAGCATTAACTTTTTAAGATAATGACTACTTAAACAAGAAACAATGTTGGCTAGAATATATGAACATTATTAAGACTTTAAAAAGTGTCTCCTTTCAACTCACACAATAACTTGAATTCTCTATTACACAGTGTGGATAAAAAAAATTATTTTTTTAAATTTAAATTGTATTTCTTTATCTAAAGATAGCCCTTTGAAGGAATGTCACCAAAACGTATGTATATGCTATGTGAACCTCATTAAAGCAGATATGTCACCAAAGACCCCTGACAGCAAAATCACTGTTCGGGGTCCGATTTCAGAGCAGGCAAAGGTTAGCTTTACTTATCTGAACCTGTCCCATGTGCGTGCCGCCCGGAGGTCGATCGAGAATCTTGTGAGATCCTCCGTAAAAAAAAAAAAGAAACAAAACAACAAAAAACTCATTTTTCTTCAGCCATGGCTGGTGATGGCCGATGGAAATGACAAGGCTTGATGGCGCTAGCTCTGCCTATGGCAGGGCTTGACAAATTTGCTTGGATTCTAGGAGCCAAGCTTTTCAATGTAAAATATGCAATTCTTAAATGGACGCTATAGGTCACCAGAACCACTACCGATTAATGTATAGTATACAACTTAATGTAGTTCTTGTGTCTATAACCTGCACACTTTTCAATGTAAACCCTGCCTTTCAGTACCAGTCACCTAAACACACACTCACTGACAAAACGCATGCACTTACAGACACAATCACGCATTTACCGACACTCACTGAGACACACACACACTAATTTTACCCCCAAGCCTCTCTACATTTTGGGAGAGCTTGAGTGGTTTGGCTTTCCCCGTTGTCCAATGAGTCTTCAGTCATCTCCCTGCTCTGCTCCATAGAACGCGGTTTAGTGATGCCGGGCCAGAAGGACGTCACATTCCGGCTCCACTAGAGGGCGCGCGAGGGAGCAGAGCAGGGGGGTTATAGCTCCCTCACACGCCTACCCGTTTGACTCAATCTTCTAGGAGACTCCTGCGCGCGCACCCTCTCCCTCAGCCAGGCAGCCAACCACCCTCACGCACGGCAATGCTCTCCCTCAGCAGGCTGACAGACTGCATGCCCATGCTTTTCCTCATAGGCAGCTGACCACCTCAGCGGCTAAATGGGCCAGCAAACCACAGGACCAAAATCCTAGAAACCATGTCAACCGGGCGCATGAGATTTGTCGAGCCCTGGCCTATGGTCAAGCTTTCTCAGGTGGAAAAAAAATACTATCCCCTACTTTGTGTAAGTCAGGGCTTGACAAATTTGTTTGGAATCTAGGAAAAGTTAGGAACCAGTATTTTTTCAAACTAACCAAGTTTCATTTTCAACGAGAAAAATTTAAGTCTTGAAGACTAACCAGAACCACTAAAGCTTAAGAGACACTATAACCCAAAATAACTTAAGCTTAATGTAGCACTTTTGATATTTAGATCATGCCCCTACAATCTCACTGCTGAATTATCTGCCATTTAGGAGTTAAATCACTGTTCATGCACTTTAGTCACACCTCCCTGCATGTAACTTGCACAGCCTTCCGAAATACTTCCTGTAAAGAGTCATTTTGTTAATTCTTCCTTTATTGCAAATTCTGTTTAATTTAGATGTTCTTATCTTCTGCTCAGTTAGTAGCTTGCTAGACCCTGCGTTAACCTTCTGTATGTAATTAAGGTTCATGGAGGTGCTGAATGTTCCCCATGCAGTGATTCCGTGTATTTCTATGAGATGCAGATTGGCGCAGCAACAACTTAATGTGCATGCACAATATTCTCCCAATGCTTTCCTATGGTAAAGCATTGGCTTAGCTGAGATGCTAAAGAGTAACAATCTCAACCATGGAGTCAAGACCAGTCGTGGAAAAACCTACATGGCGTGGGAAAAAAGGTGAGTAAAAACACAAACAGCGTGCAAGGGAGCAGAGAACAATTGCTGGTAGATTAATGCTCCCTTGCTTGCCACCCCCTGGTGCCCCGGGAGAACGGCTTCACTAAAGGGGTGCCAGGTCAAATGCCCAGCTGACACCTATGATTTGTCGATTCCCTGGTCCAAGTATATTTTTTGATGAGGTTGGAATTTCTGTGAAATTCAAAATACAAACTATTTCATAAAAGATTCTATCTTTATGAAATACTCTTTTTTAGTTGGGGGAGTGAGGAGGGGCTATGCTGAAAGTTGCAACACATTGGCAGCATTGCATTTCAAAATCTAAATACAATTATCTAGGTATTGCAATAATCTATCCACTATTTTATTATCATGCAGTTTTGTATTTAAGATACGTGATTATCCAAAGATTACTCAGCATGAGATGGAGATTAGGTATGTACAATGAGTCTGTATATTCACGCAATATTTATTTTTTTGGTTACGGTAATTCAAATTGTCTGCAAAGATAACTTGCACTTTTTCTACAGGAAAATAACAAAATAAACAAAGTTCAGAAAAAGACCTTGATCCCATTGTTATTCTGCAAATCTTCATACACCAATGTACACCATTCATTCAAGTCCTTCTCCAAATAAGAGTTATTAACCTACTAAACTGGAGACAGATCAATTTGCAATAACATGTATTTCTTATGGCAAACAATATGTTCCGATATCAGTTACCAGGGGTCCTCAAACTCCGGCCCCCCAAATGTTGCTGAACTACAACTCCCATGATTCGTTGAATTACATAGATAGCCAGAGAATCATGGGAGTTGTAATTCAGCAACATCTGGGGGGCCAGAGTTTGAGGACCCCTGAATAAAACTAATCTGAAAACATATTCAGAATATGAAGTTGCCATTTGGTTGAAAATATTAAAGATTATAACTAGCAAAAATAATTCCTTATGTTTAAATATCATGATTTAAACTAAGTCTTACTGACTTATGACTTGATTATATGGACTAGATTTAAATCAAACATATATATCCTATGGAATGTAAGTTCGTTTGAGCAGGGTCCTCTCCAACCTATCGTTCCTGTAAGTTTTTTGTAATTGTTCTATTTATAGTTAAATCCCCCCTCTCATAATATTGTAAAGAGCTACGGAATATTTTTGCGCTATATAAATGGCAATAATAATAATAATAATAATAATAATAATATTATACACAAAGTCCACCTGCAGCCAATCAAGCCGTTCCGAATCATGTGATCGTGGTGACACCGCAATCACAACTCTCCGATCAGCTGGATTGGCTGCAAGGGGACTGCTTGGGTTTCAGACAGGGTCCTCCAATACATAATTATATAAATATTTGCATCAAAATATACTTATATATATATATATATAATTTCAATATATATATAATATATATATATATATATATACACACACACACACACACACCTGAAACTCCGTAAAATATTAGCACACTTTGGGGAAGAATAATCAAGGAAAAAGAGGTTCTATTTTTGGTGCTTGAAATGACTATTGGTTTCTACGTTGACTGCTTCTATTTAGCTGTTTGCCCCAGAAAAGCACCCCCCCCTGTTTGCTTTCATAAGTCTCCCAATGTGGGTACAACTCCAAAATATTTGACTATTCCAAAAAGTTAATATTTAGACCAAAATATGTATTTTCCCTCTCAAACTAATACCAATAGTTACATAGTAAAAGAATTTTGCAGCACTAGCTGAAATACTTAAATTTCACAACAAATAAGGTGCACAAAGCACAGAGTTTATCAGCCACCTACGTTGTGTGAATAAATGCAAGAAAATATGCTGCTGCCACATGTCACCCTAACGCCCAAAGTACTTTACTGTTTCATTTATATAATTATAAGTAATTTATAACTGAAACAAGTAACAGCAAAAATTACTTTGAATGGATGCTTGTTTTATCGCTATGCCAGCCCCACACAGCTATATTTCACAGACTTAAATCATGTATCAACTACCCAAGGTTTGAATACTCTTGATACATAGTGCATCAGATTCAAACTGAGGAATACACTTCACAGAAAAATGTTTTGGTTCGCTTCAAATGCTCACATCTTAATATAACCCACTAAATTGCTTAAAGAGTGCATTTGCTGTGGGTTTGATTCCTGATGATGAGAAGCATTAAGCAATGCTTATAAAACTGTAGTCATAGATCCACCTTAAATCTGGCAACGCCTGTATTTCCTTTTAAAATTCTGCCGCGGTAGAAAGTTTGAGCAATAGGTTTACGTGATAGATTTAACCATTTCCTGACGTTAGCGCATGCTATGCTGTCCTACAAAAAGAAGGCCACTGTTAGTGCATGCTATGCCCTCCCTCCAGCCTGGATACTTACCCTGTGTTCCAATTGTGATCAGGGGACCTGTCTGACAACCCAGACAGTCCACCTGCAGCCAATCCAGCTGTTCCAAATCATGTGATTGTGGTGACACCATAATCACAAATCTCTGATCAGCTGGATTGGCGCAAGGGGACTGCTTGGGTTTCAGACAAGGTCCCCCGATACATAATTATATAAAATATTTGCATCAAAATACTTGAAATTAAAAATATATACATCCACAGATAAGGCTGCACGCGCTGTCTTCATAAAATCCAAAATGCTTTATTAGGTATTCATTAAAAATAGGATCAATGTTTCAGTCCCCCATGCTTTCCTCAGGATCAAAAAAATACATTATATATATATATATATATAAAAAAATGATATGTATTTTTTTGATCCTGAGGAAAGTCCCATGGGGGACTGAAACGATCCTATTTTTAATACTGAATAAATATTTTGAATACCTAATAAAGCATTTTGGATTTTGCAGCCTTATCTGTGGAATTATATTTAAGTCAGCCCAAAGGCTTTGGCACATGGCATTACAATTTACAGCGTGAGTGCAAGGATTGTCCAGTGCCAAGCAGCAATACCAGATTAAATTAATTTGCAAGCCCTATATTTAATATAAAATAAAGTTATGTTTCCTATATAAAATATTTGATGTGAACTGAAAGTCCTATTTCTCTTAAACAAAAGGATATACAAGAGTGGGTGCACATATTATAAAATGTAAGGTATTGTTTTGATTCAGAACAATTGTCTTGGTTCTTGAGGGGTTAAATGTACAAGTCATTCACACAATTTCTTACGTTAACATCACAAACATTTTTTTTGTATGGCGCCTAAAAAGTTAACGATTAATAAGATAAAAATCTCATTCACATAAAATATATAAAAAATAAAAATTTGTTAAATTTGGGTGACTTAATATCGTATATAGTTCAATTTCGAAATGCAGAACATGATAGTCATTACTGTGCAGAAGTCGAGTTAAGCTCATACAAATCAGTGGGAAACTTTACAGCCTCTTCACAAAGGCAGATGTGGGCAGGGGCGTGACCGTGACAGATTCACAAGAACAAATGTCAGAAAAAAACCCCACAAACCTAAAAAAGTTGTTAACACCCACAAATGCAGTTTTTGACAAAGAAAATGTAAGTTTCCTAGACATGAGAAAAATAAAATAAAACCCCTCCCCACAAATTATTTTTTATATATTGCACGGCTCCTTTACTATGAGGTTATATATATATATATATATTTTGTTTTTAAACTGATCACTTTAAAAAAAAAAAAAAAAATCACATTATTCTTATTAACTTGCAGGAAAAATACCCCTTAAAGCTTGATTCACAAATATGATCTAACATATTTAAAGGGGAAACAACCCCCTTCCCCCATGTATTTCAGTGGATACAGTGCAAGAAACCACTGGCTGTAAAGGTAGGAACAGAAACAAATTAGAGGACAAATCTGCAGTTATAAATGACAGTCAATGGTTGCAAAGCAGATCGATTGATCTTCCCAAAACCATATAATTTTTACCATTTTAAAGAACTATACTTTACAATAAGGAGTTACAGAAATAATGTAATTTTTTTTTTTTTTATTTATAAACGCATATATTTGAAGACGCTTTTTGGAGCAATGTACCTTTTTAACACAGAATCAGGCAGATAAGATTACTAAGAGTCAAATAAGCTTTGCAATGAATTACAAAGTTGTGCTTTACAGAATTAATTTCTTCCAATGTGATGATCTTTGCATAATTTTAAGTATTGCTACATATTAACAGAGCCCTCTTCTATGTACACGAACGGGCAGGCCAAAACAAATGACAGATTTGACAAAATTTTCTGATCACTGTATGATCCTCAAAATGCCACACACCTATTTCACCATTGCTTTGTAACATTAATCAGGATAATTTGAATTAAGTCTATTCATGCATGGCTTATGTATGAGAATTTCAATAATTCAGACTTCGATTATGGCAGATGGGATGCAATACAGTTAATCAACTTAATTGTAAGTTAATTAAATTAATACGAAGATTTCTAATAAGTCTGATAAATGCTAAACAAAAACACCAGTTTTTGCATAAATGACAAACTGCAGGGTGATTTTGAAAGAATATAATTTTTAAGTTTACTAGTTGAAATAGATCTAGCAACATACCCTGTATGAATGCAAAAAAAAAAAAAAAGGCAGAAATACAACATATGCAAACAAAGTTTAAGAGGAAAAAAGCAGAACTGGAAACTAAGCATGTATCCCTCAAACCAAACCATTTTGTTTGAGCCTAAAGATAAAGAATGGTTCGGTAATTTCAATTTCATAGTCGCTTCATTTATACGTCTGGAAATTTGGGAAATTAGATCCTACAGCAAAGCAAAAAATAATATATTTTCATATAGATATTTTTAAAGTATTCCAGCCCATATCTCCTTGTAATTTAAAGAGGTGATCATTCAGATCATGTTAATCCGATGTCATTACTTCTCTTCCTCTCCCCCTATTTAATATCTTCTGAGAAGTAATAGCTTAAATTGCCTGCGGGACCTCTATTAGTCATTAAGATTTGTAGTTGGAGGTTAGCCATGTAAGTCCTTCATAGAGCCCATCCCCGCTGGTTGCACAGGATGGCTGCACATACCAATTTCTATCCCTGATTCGTGTCAGACCAAGTTTCTCCTGGATTTCATGGGGTTTCATGGCATCAGGGAGGTCTTGTTTATTGGCAAATATTAGGATGATGGCGTCCCTCATCTCCCTGTCATTGATAATGCGATGGAGCTCTTGCCTAGCCTCATCAATACGGTCTCTGTCCGCACAGTCCACCACAAATATAAGGCCTTGTGTGCCAGTATAGTAGTGCCGCCAGAGGGGTCGAATCTTGTCCTGGCCCCCCACATCCCACACGTTGAACTTTACATTTTTGTAAGTCACTGTCTCTACATTGAAACCTACAGTTGGTATAGTTGTGACAGACTGTCCCAATTTTAGTTTATACAGGATGGTGGTCTTCCCAGCAGCATCAAGACCGAGCATCAAGATCCTCATTTCCTTGTTGCCAAATATCTTGGAAAGTACCTTGCCCATGGTGGTGCATTAAATTCAGTTTCTAGAAATAAGAAATACAAAGGGGTGTCCTTAGGTCCAATGCTCCAGTATAGGTTGAAGAAGTGCTTCCTTGTGAGTGAAAGAAATCCTCTCAAGGAATGTACCCTGAATCTATATGGGTACTGTAAACCGAACGTTTAGGGATTGAAAAGGAGGAGGAATAAATGTCATGAACAATTCAGACTTCAGTTGGTTATACTTTTAGTTCTTTGTCCTTGAGTAGGGTGCTTTTTGTGGTGCACTGATTGAGGGCCCGTTTTAGGGCAGCTGGGTGAAAAGTTAATCCTAGCAGTATATCCTCTAGGGATGTAGCTCTCCCCTGACTGCAGAGGGGATACCTGTATAGATACTTAGCTCCCTATCAGGTGCTATGGGCAGTACAGACAGCCTGCTTTGTCCCAGGTGCTATGGAGCTCAGTACAGACAGCCTGCTTTGTCCCAGGTGCTATGGAGCTCAGTACAGACAGCCTGCTTTGTCCCAGGTGCTATGGAGCTCAGTACAGACAGCCTGCTTTGTCCCAGGTGCTATGGAGCTCAGTACAGACAGCCTGCTTTGTCCCAGGTGCTATGGAGCTCAGTACAGACAGCCTGCTTTGTCCCAGGTGCTATGGAGCTCAGTACAGACAGCCTGCTTTGTCCCAGGTGCTATGGAGCTCAGTACAGACAGCCTGCTTTGTCCCAGGTGCTATGGAGCTCAGTACAGACAGCCTGCTTTGTCCCAGGTACAGTGAGCCCCTGTGTCTGGTGGTTCTCGGGGTGCAGCTAGAGGGGCCCTTGAGAGAGGCACATGAGGTTGAGGTAGGTGTTCTTTGGCTCAATTCAGTTAGTTTCCTGCCCTCCAGAGGCTGCAGCCGGTGTGGCCCTAGTTCCAGTTCGGTGAGCCCCGGGTGCTGGTCGGTGTGGGCTCCGTGTGAGCCCCGGTGTGAGTGTTGAGCGGCCCCGGCTTCTCTCCTGAGCAGCCAGTCATTGGCTTCACCCGCTCTCTAGGTCTCTCAGGCCGCTTCCGGGGCCTGTCAGCCAGCGGGGAGAGAGAGAGCGAGGGGAGGGCGGCGCTGGGGGGGAGGGGCCGGACAGGGCGCTTGGGACACGAGACTCCGCCAGCCGCTGCCGCCGCCACAGGGAGGGGCCGCTTCCGACACGCAGGAACACGGCGTCAGCAGAGAGCGCCGGCGCGCACCCAGACCACGCCCCCTCTCATGGGCGCATGCGTCAACATATCCCTACACCAGGCTGTAAACGGCATGGACATAGAATATGTCTATGGTAAACGGAATGTCTGGAGAGCCGAGGGAGAAAGGGGCGTGGTCTTTGAACTGGGCTGTCAATTCCGCGAGCTCTGCCTTTAGGCTAATCAGCTCGCGCTAAAACCGTTGCTTGTGGAGATTTTCCCGCCCATAAACGAGGGGAGGAGAGCTGAGCCTGACGGGAAATGTAGTTTACAAATAGCCAAGCAGCTCCAAGTTTTACTATTTTTTTTCCTTTTAATTATTTCTGAGTTATATAGAAAAGCAATACATTCATTATTGTCACAGTCAATAAATTTGTGATTAGCTTTTAGATTTGTACTGGGGGATCCATGTTATAGTCCACTCAGAGTCACACTATTGAAGGCAATGATAAATTCATGCGAAATTTTCATTTTACAAAACTGTGCACCAAGAAGCTTTACTAACATAGGCTGTAAATACAATCAAAAAGGTTTATTCACTAATCATTGAATTGGGGTGATTGAAAATGTAATTGCTGTACATCCAGCTAAGCTAATTTAGTAATTTCTAGTTTTCCAGTCATTACAATTTGCTGTGGACATACTTGAAAACGAGAGAAATCTCAATGTATCTTTCCTGGCAAAATATTTTATAAATAAATAAATAATAATAGATCTGGAAGTGAAGGTGGAAATCTTCAGAAATCGATACCACCAGTTAATTAGAAAAGTTAGCAAGGGAGTTGCTTTGTGAAAATAACAAAGTTCTATATTTTATATTATATTACACATCACCTTGACAAGATTTCAATTATTTCTGAGATTCAGAAAATTCTATTATATGTAACAAAAGTATTTTTTTTTTTTTTTAAATGGGGTCTGAAAAGGGTGTGTTAGATACAGCGCGTGCCACCTACTTGCTGTATCATTATTTCCTTCAGTGTTTTTGAGCAATGAACTGGAGCGGAAAAACCATTAGTACAATCCTATTGGTCTATTCGGAAATATACAACTGTTTTGAGTGAAAGGGAGAAGGCTGGGAAAAGGATGAATGGGATATTTATATGATAATTCATATTGAGATTGCTAGCGACTGTTTGCTTTGCTAGGTTAGGGCGCCATCTTTCTGCAGGAGACGAAATAGAAAACGGTGAAAAAAAGTAAAAATACACTTTTGTCACATGGCAGGAGGATTCATACTTTGCAGACACTTTCTGTGACCTTCATAGAGATGCCCCCTTTTCTGGATAGAAATACCGGCCAAGCTAACTTGCATAATTTTATTATGTATGTGTGATATCTCAGGACATAGCATACATTAGAGAGTGAGAACGTTTGGAACGAGAAAATTCACCAAATCACTAATATACTACTTACAATGTGTATAATTTGTCTGACTTTGCGTATAGCATTGTGTATGTGAGGAAGTGTGTATATATACTGTCTGAACGTGCGTATAGTAGTGTGTGAATAACAGTGTGTGCATACTGTTGTCTCACTGTGTGTCAGTGTTTGTGTACACTAGGTGTGTGTCTACTATGTCTGTGTATGTTATTGTGTTATTATAGTATATAACAATGTGTGTACATGCCATTTATCAACAGAGATATTCTGGTTCTATTTCTCTCAACATTCTCCCATCAGACTGCTTAATACACACAGACTGCTGAATACACACACACATAGATTGCTGAATACGGTAAACACTCTTACTACTCCCAAGGGGGCAAATGTGGCCGCATGCTCGCAAAGTCCCTAAAACAACAAAGACAATCTACCTTCATCTAAAAAATTAAAAAACCCTCAGGTGCCTTGTCCTATAAACTCCCAGACATATTGACAGCTTTCCACGACTTCTATACTAACCTCTACAACCTAAGGGACTCCCTCAACCAGAGACATTGAACAATTCCTGACTTCTAGTATTCACCAGACTATCCACGCCAACGTCCTTCCGACCCTAGACACACCCATCTCCTCGGAACAATTCCACTCAGCTATACGGCACCTCCAACTAGGAAAAAGCCCAGGGCCAAATGGCTTTACAGCTAAATACTACAAGACGTTCATAACTTCTCTGTCTGAGCTCTTCACACAAGCATTCAACTCCCATTGCCCAGTCGGCAACCTTCCCTACATCAGCCTTGGAGGCCTACATAGCCCTCATACCCAAACCTGGTAAAGAGCCGACCAACTGTGATAGCTACCGGCCAATTTCCCTGATAAATTTAGATATGAAAATATTTACGAAAATACTGTCCACCCGCCTAAAACCACTGCTCCAAACCTTGGTCCATTCCGACCAAATGGGCGTCGTCATCAATAGGGAAGCAAAACACAAAATGCTTTCCTATGGGCGTTTTTAATGCGCATGCGGCTCTTGCTGTGCATGCGGCTCCAGTCAAGAGCGGATGTCTGAGGGGGAGGAGAGGTCACCAGCGCCAAGGGAACCCGGCGCTGGATAAAGGTAAGTGGCTGAAGGGGTCTTAACCCCTTCAACCCAGCAGGAGGGGGGCCCTGAGGGTGGGGGGGGACCTAAGGATTATATAGTGCCAGGAAAACAAGTTTGTTTTCCTCACACTATAGTGATCCTTTAAATACACAGGCATGATATACAGGGGTGCAAAAAACAAAGTAAAATATATAGGAATTAATAAAGGTATTTTTAGACCTTGATCAGACAGCACCATCCTGGGATGAAATGCAGCCTGCAGGATGAAATTAGTCCAGACATTTCACAGGTTTTACACTTAAAATTGAATTAGTTAACCATTACAATACGACCTAAATACTAATGCATAATATATAATAGCTTCTTTTATCATCTCCGAAACATACTTATTCCAGAATTAAAATATCAAATGTGTGAAATATAAAACGTTACTAATCACTTTTTCTTTCCTAAATAGGCTACCTCTTAAAGCATAGCACCAGGCATTGCCCCAGATATTACCTAATCTGGATGTTTGTCCAGAACCTAAGAAGGGTAAGAAATGGAAGCCATGGAAAAAGAATGGTGGGCTTCTGGAAGAAACTCGAAAAAGTTACCAACAAGGCATAAAGAGACTTCGCTTTCCCCCTTCTGTTACATCTAAATTTGCATTGCTTGATGAAAGGTAAATACTGTATGATCACATGAATCAAAAGGGGGGAAATCTTCTGCTATTTTTTTCTATTGTTGATATTTTGTTTTAACAAATTGACATTTTAACCTCTACGCTGGGTGCTGTTAGAATTAGACTGACCATTTTGTTTTTTGTGTTTTTTTTCAAAAGCTGTAGATATACCTATGTCAGCTATGGAAAAGAGGATATGATTCCTGAAGTACCATACTATGTTCGGGTGACCTCAACAAAAACCAACAACCTAATGAAATATCTTTGGCCACCTAGGTAAGTGTATCATGAGACACAGAATGACCGACCATAATCCTATGCGATCATCCAAAAAAAACAACAACCTGCAGTGTCCTCAGTAAGCCAATACACTGGTTCCCTCACTGGCTGTCTGTGTACACAGACAACCAATAAGACAAGAACCACAGATAGAGTCAGATGTCAATGCTCTTTCTGAACCAACATCACTTATCACGGAAGTACTATGGCAACGTGACTTACCAGGCATTACCTAATTTCCATAAGGAATGCATTTCAAAATAAGCAGAAGCTTTTATGGTACAAAATAAAGTATTTATTGAAATTACTGTAACCAAAATGTAATATATGAAAAAAAATGATCTGATTGTGTTCACTATAAGCTGTCACAAGTCTAGAGGGTATTCCTTGTCATACGTCTACAGAGAGGTAAGTGGACAGCAGCTGCAGGTATCATGTTAGATAAGATTATTAGAAGATGGGGGTCAGAGTTCGATAGAGATTAGAATAACGAATGGTTTGTTAATGGGTATTATTTCTATGAATAACATAACTTTCTTGCAGATGTAATAGTTTCATTCTGAAATGAATGGGAGTATTATAAGGGTTAAAGTATTTAAAATGGAAATTTGAGTTTCATGATTTAGTTATTTTTCTTAACAGACAAGATAGAAAAATTTACAAAAACAATGTGTGTAGCCTAACACATTCGAAGTGATCACAATAAAATAAGCAGGCACGATACGAAGGGGTGCACAAAAAAAGTAAAATATATAGGAATTAATAAAGGTGTTTTGAGTCCCTGATCAAACAGCACCATACTGGGATGAAATGCCAGATTGAATTAGTCCAGAAATTTCACAGGTTTTACACATCAAATTGAATTAGTTAACCATAACAATACAACCTAAATAATAATGCATAATATATAATGGCTCGTTTTATCATCTCCTAAACACACTCGGTTATTCCAAAAATAATATATCAAATGTGTGAAATATGAAAGTTCACTAATCACTTTTTCTTTCTTAAATAGGCTACCTCTTAAAGCTGAGCCTCAGATATTGCCCCAGATATCATCAAATCTGGATGTTTGTCCAGATCCCGAGAAGGGTAAGAAATGGGAGCCATGGAAACAGAATGGTGGGTTTGTGGAAGAAAGTCTAAAAAGTTGTCAGCAAGGCACAAAGAGACTTCGCCTTCCCTCTTCTGTTACATGTAAATTTGCAGTGCTTGATGAAAGGTAATCAAAGGCTGGAGGGGGCGGGGGGATTTTGTGCTTTTTCTTTTGTTGATGTTTGTTTTAACAAACTGAGATTTTAACCTCTACGCTGAGTGTTGTAATAATTAGCCTGACCTTTTTGTTTTGTTATGTTTTTCTTAGACCTAATACTAGCTATGTCAGATATGGAAAAGAGGAGAAGATTCTCGAAGTACCATACTATATTTGGGTGTCTCCAACAAAAACCAACAAACTAATGACATATGTTTGGCCACCTAGGTAAGTGTATTATGAAACACAGAATGACAGACCATATACATAAACATATACAAATAAAACTGCATTGTCCTCAGTAAGCCAATACCCTGGTTCTCTCACTGGCTACATGTGTACACAGACAACCAATGAGAGAAGAACCACAGATAGAGCAAGTTGTTAATGCTGATTCTGAACCAACATCACAAATCAGTGGGGAGTACAATGGCAACATGACTTACCAGGCATTACCTAATTTCCATAAAATATGCATTTTAAAATAAACAGAAGCTTTTTATGGTAAAAATATTTTTTTTTTACTGTAACCAGAATGTAATATATGAAACATAAATGATCTGATAGTGTCACTGTAAGCTGTGCAATAATGACTGATAGATAACGAGTGATAGGGTAGCTGACGGACCGAAAGTGAAAGGAAAGCTAATGAGGAATAAAATAAGTGACAAAATGGGCTGATGGATGGAAAGGACACAATTGCAACAACTTTATTTTAACTTTACCTATTTTAATTGCAGGGACCCAATCTTTTCTTCTAAGTTTAAACCTGCAGTACTTCCAAAACAATTCATAACAACTAAAAAGTCTGCAAGCGTCCCAGAAAAGGAAGTAGACAGAAAAGGACCAGAAAATGAAACAAATGATTGTGCAGAGTATTATAAACAGGATACTATTCTACAGCCTGAACCTGTCACAAGTCTAGAAGATATTCTTTATCCTGCAGTCTATGTCACATGTTTAAAAAACAACAATTTTCTAGAAGGCCCTGTTTGCACTATCAAACCTCATACAAATAGATTGACAGAGGAAATGCCAGTGAACCATAGTCACCCACAGTCCACTTTCAGTTGTTCACCTGACCCTACAAATCTAGATTCACAGAACCCAGTCACAGGTCATTGTCATTTGCTGCAATTTATGTCTCTACAGCCTACAGAGGTTGTCGCATGTTTAGAAGACAACAATTCTCAAGAATTCCCTGATTGTACTATCAAACCTCATACAAGTGGATTACAGAGGAAGTGCCAGTGAATCCTGGTCAGCCACATTTAATTTTGGGTTGTCACCCTGAGTCTAAAAATCTAGAATCTCAGGAGGCTGTCACAGTTCACGAACATGGTATTCTTCTAGAGCACCCAGTTTGTCCTGCCAAACCACACACTGGTGAAATGTTAGAGGAGCTTCCAGTAAACTCTACCACTGTAATGAATCACTCTGAGACTACTTTGGATTCCTCCATTGTTCAGCCAGAAGAGTTACCTCTAATCAATCAAGAGAGCACCCCTGAGCAGACGCAAAATGATATAAAGAATAATTTGCCTGGATCATATGTGAGCCTGAGCAGTGACCATGAAGAGCAACCATTGCCAGAAACAGAAGAAAAATAACCATCTGGAGAGGCTGTTATAGTTCTGAAGCAAATGATGGAAAGCCAAGACTTTGCAGTACCTGCACTCCAAGAGAAGGCAAATATTAAAGAAAAGACAGAAAGCATATGCTATGACAGGAATTTCTTACTCCAATTCAAATCCATCACACAGGAGCCAAAGGACTTCGCTGAGATCTGTAAAAACCACCAAGGTATGGTTATTAGCCCTCACCTTCGGCCAGTGGATCCTTCACAATTGACTCGCAGGAATTGTACACCTCCATCTGCAAATTTCTGCCACCCTGCTAAGGGTAATCGCAGATTGCCATCTGGAATGGGTCAAATGAGGTCTCAGCAAGCTCCTGCTAAAGAAACTCATAAAATTATTCAACTCAACGAGAATGTTACACTGCAAAAATCTGCCAAAGCTTGGAGACCTCCTATGAAAAGGGCAAAAGAAGAACCCAGTAGAGTCAAGGCTCAAGAACTGTTTCGGAGAGCTCGCGGTATTCTAAATAAGATCACTCCTCAGACATTCCAGCACTTAATCCATCAGGCGAAGGACCTCTCTGTAGACACAGAGTATCATCTTAAAGGTGTTGCTGAACTCATATTTGAAAAAGCAGTAGCAGAGCCTCATTTGCAGTGATATATGCCAACATGTGCAACTGGCTAAAGATGCTTGAGGTCCCAACAGAAGAAAATTGTGAAGTGTGCATTACGTTCCGCAGGCTGCTAATAAGGCTCTGCCAGGTGGAGTTTGAGAGAGGTGAAAAAGGTGGTGAAAGAATTGAAGAACTGCAGAAGGAACTGGATGCTGCTATGTCACCTAATGAAAAGACTCGACTGAAGGAGGAATTGAGTGATGCCTGTAATAGAGCATGCAGGCGATCCCTAGGGAACATCAAATTTATTGGAGAGCTATTTAAATTAAAGTTGCTGTCAGAAGACACCATGAACGACTGTCTCATTAAGCTACTAAAGAGGAACAACGAGGAGTCCATGGAGTCCGTCTGCCTATTGTTAACATCAGTTGGAAAGTACCTTGAAAATGGACAATCTGGCATGGACAATTATTTCAACAAGATTAATATCTTCATTACAAACAGGACAACTTCTTCTAGGATTAGGTTTTTGGTGCAGGATGTGTTGGATCTGAGGAGAAATAACTCGGTACCGCGACACCATCCCGAGGGACCAAAAACAATTGATCAAATCCACAAAGAGGCAGAACAGGAATCCAAAAGAAAAGTGCAGTGAACCAAAAAAACTTCCATGGACACCTGAATATAAGCAACATATGCACAAAGACAAGCCTGCAGATTGATTTACATAAATACATAAAAAACATTCAGGCAGTGACACCAACTTTTATGCACAAAGCAACACAGAGACAAATGCATATTCATGCACAAGAACAAACATTTATTCAAAGACAAATTCAGACAATCATGCAAAGACAAACACATTCACATACAATCACACATTGAGCAAACAAAATATTTATTCAGATAAAAAGGCCCACCCATATTATGAAATTAGCACATTAATTGTGGCATAAAAACATGATCTAGAATTGCACTTGTTCGTTTCATCATTGCCAAAAAAAAAACACATTGAAACTCACATTAACAACATACATGGTTCACTGGCCTGCAGGATTCACACTTGGCATGCTAGGACCACCATTGTTAACCTAGATACATATATTTTATATATTGTTAATTTTATTACAATAATAAAGTCTGTTCTTAAAATTCATCCTTTTATACTGATGTTGGTTTCTTCTTTGAAAGTGTTTTATTGCCAGGGCCGTTGCTAGGTTTCAAATATACCTATAGATTCAGCCCATACTATATCTCACGGACACCACCCTACAGCCTTATCACCTGGTTTCTCTGTAGCTGTATAATACACACTCCCTTAAAGGAAAACGCCATGCATCAGCAGGCTGTAGTGGTTATAGTGCCCAGAGTGCCCTGCTGCCCTTACAGGATAAGTAGTCAAACCTTTTGAGACAGGGCATTTCTACCTGTGTACTTGGAAGGTCCTGCATTGAGTTAAAACAGCGGACCAGGGCTTAGCTCATTGGTTGAGAGTACTCACCTTACCACCTCAGCCAGTGGGCTTAAAAAAAGTGTAGTTAACAGAAGCTGTTCCTTTGACTATTTACACTGCAGGGTCTCACCTAGCATTATAACCACTGCATCGAACTGGTTATGGTGCTCCAAATACCGGTAATACTTTAAACCCTTTCAAGGCTAGGGTACAAATAGTTCATTGTTTTGGAGCAAACAAAATGCACTGCATATCTCAGCCACTGAAAGGGTTAAGATGTGCAGGCTGTTAAACTATGTCTCCCTTGATGTAGTCCAGTGGGCATTAATATTAGGCTGTTCAAATATTCATTTAATGTTCTTAAAACCAAGGCACATATTTGATAAACATTTTCATAGTTATTCACTTAAGTACGATTTTAAGGTGACTTTCAAATTTAATTACAAAATAGCCAAATTGGAAGCATAGCTGACTTGGAGAATGTTTCCATTTAATCTTTTTGGCCTCCAATGTGAAATTCACTTTGAATTCCCGGTAATTAGGATTTTAGTGTAAAACTCAGAAAGGATCCATGCTCATTGGCTGGCTGAGAATCATCTGTGTTATAAAATTCTTATCAGGGCAAGTTGCCCCACGTGTATTTGGAGTAGCAATGAAAATCATAAATGCTTCAGCCGAAATACCCTTAAGTTATGTACAAAGCCGTTGTTGTACCTAAAGAACATCAGAAAACATTTATGTTTGTTGCTACTCTAAATAAATGTGGAGTGAAACAAGTCCATCCTTAATATTTGCACTTTTAACTATTTGTTCTTGCTTCATACTGTAAATTGCAATGCAAGAGTCAAACATTGACTATATCTGGCAGCATAGGGCTATCGTATTTTTCTGGTATCACATTAACCTACTTTATTTCTCATTTTGAATTGACGTGTTAGCGATTTCAATACATTTTTGAAAGGTATATTGCAAGGAGTGAATCGCTGAAGGAACTATATGCAGGGCCAGCCCGTCCATAGGTCCTGGTAGTACCATGGCTCCAGGCGGCACTCTGAATACACACACAGGTTGCTGAATGCAAAAACACACAGACTGCTAAATAAACACAGAGATTGCTGAATACACACACATATAAAGACTTGTGAATACACACACACACACACTGCTAAATAAACACACATACAGCTGAATATACACACACAGACTGCTGAATACACACAGAGACTGCTCATTAAACATAGATTGCTGAATACACACACAGACAGACTGCTGAATATACACACTGACAGACTGCTGAATACACACACAGAGACTGCTGAATACACAAGCAGACTGCTCAATACATTCAGATTGCTCAATACACACAGGGCCGGTGTGTCCAAAAGGCAGCACAGGCTTAGGGCGTCAGAGCAGGAGGGGGTGCAAAAATCCGAATCCCCTGCCTCTGGCTGGGGACTTAAATTTCTAAAATCACCTGCCTCTCTGCAGCCAGCACTCAGCAGCCAGTGACTTTGGGTGGCCTCTTCTGATTATGTCAAAAAGAGGGCGTCACTTCCACTGCTTTTCTCCCACACTCCCCAAAGGAACATATCATCAGGGCATTTTCTTTGGCCCGCTGGGCCCTGCCCCTCCCCCCCTCCAATTACACCCAACCCCCAATCACACTTTTCACCCCAATGCCGTGGGGAAACTAAAGTAGAGAGATTCAAAACATACGTACACAGCCATATACACTGACAGACATACTGACACATACACACACAGACAAACATATTGACACATTCGCAGATACATAGTTACATAGTTACATAGCTGAAAAGAGACTTGTGTCCATCAAGTTCAGCCTTCCTCACATATGTTTTTGCTGTTGATCCAAAAGAAGGCAAAAAAACCTATATATTTGAATAATGATATCATATCCCCTCTGAGGCGCCGTTTTTCCAAACTAAAGAGATTTACATTTTTTAAGCTTTCTTCATAACTAAAATGCTCCATTCCTTGTATCAAGGATATCATATCCCCTCTGAGGCGCCATTTTCCAAACTAAAGAGATTTACATTTTTTAAGCTTTCTTCATAACTAAAATGCTCCACCCCCTTGTATCAATTTTGTAGCTCGTCTTTGCACTTTTTCTAGTGCCATGATATCCTTCTTTAGAACAGGTGCCCAAAATTGCACAGCATATTCAAAGTGTGGTCTTACCAGTGATTTATAAAGAGGCAAAATTATATTTTTATCCCGAGAATTTATGCCTCTATTTAAACATGACAAAACCTTACTGGCCTTAGCAACTGCAGATTGACACTGCATATTGCTGCCTAATTTGTTGTCTATAAGAATTCCCAAATCCTTCTTGTGTGTGGATACCCCTAATTCACTACCATTTAGGGTGTAAGTTGCTTGTGCATTCTTGACCCCGAAGTGCATAACCTTGCATTTCTCTACATTAAATTTCATCTGCCATTTTAGTGCCCAGTCCCCCAATCTATCCAAATCCCTCTGCAGCAAAGCAATATCCTGCTCACATTTTATTACTTTATAAAGTCTTGTGTCATCTGCAAACACTGAAACATGGCTTTCAATGCCTATTTCAAGATCATTTATGTTAAATAGAAGTGGTCCCAAAACAGAACCCTGATGGGTTACCACTTTTGTCCAGCCAGAAAATTTACCATTATTGACAACTCATTGTACTCTATTTCTAATCCAATGTTCTACCCAAGAACAAGAATAATCATCTAGACCAATTGTTTGAAGACTAACCTATTGTGAGGAACCGTATCAAATGCCTTGGCAAAATCCAAGTAGATCACATCCACTGCAACACCCTGATCCAGGGCCGCCATCAGGGCATGACAACCGCAATGGTTGTCATGGGCCCGGCGGTCCTGGGGGGCCCGGACAGCTCAGGTCGTCCGGGCCCCACATTCAGTGGGTACATACCGGGTCGCAGGGGACCCTGCGACCCCGGTATGTACCCACAGGGCCAGCCTCTTCTCCTGGGGGGCCCAGCAGCCGGTCACCTCAGGGCCCCCCAGAGGCTGGCCCTGCTGACACCCGGCCGGCGGGCCGGCGCGCGAGGGAGCACTCTCTGTGTGCTTCCTCTTCAGCTCCCTCGCGCACCGTACTGATGCCGGAGCTGGACCTCCGGCATCAGTACGCGGCGCGCGAGGGAGCTGAAGAGGAAGCACACAGAGAGTGCTCCCTCGCGCGCCGGCCCGGTGCCAAGTAGAAACTTTGAGTGAGTGCGGGTGGTGGAGGAAAGGGGAGGTGGGGAGGGAGAGGGAGGGAAGAAATTTGAGTTGGGGTGGGAGGGAGAGGGAGGAAATTTGTGGGTGGGGGGAGGAGGAAGAAATTTAGTGAGTGGGGAGGAGGAGGAAATTTGAGTGAGTGGGGAGATGGAGGAGAGAGGTGTGGGTGGGGAGGGAGGGAGAAATTTGAGTGAGTGGGGAAGGGAGGGAGAAATTAGAGGGAGGAGAATTTGAGGGAGGGGAGAGGGAAGGGAGGGAGAATTTGAGTGAGTAGAGAGGGAGAGGGAGGAGGAAATTTGAGTGAGTGGGGAGAGGGAGAAATTTGAGTGGGAGGAGAGGAGAGGGAGGGAGAAAGAAATTTGAGTGGTGGGGGGAGGAGGAAATTTGTGGGTGGGGAGAGGGGAGGGAGGAAATTTGAGTGAGTGGGGGAGAGGGGAGGGAATTTGAGTGGGGGAGGAAGGGAGAAATTTGGGGGGAGAGGAAGGAAATTTGAGGAAGAAGGGGAGAGAAGGGAGGAAATTTGGGGGGAGGAGGAAGGAGAAATTTAGAGGGGGAGGAAGAGAATTTGAGTGGGGGAGGAAGAAATTTGAGGAGGAAGGGGTGGAAGGAAATTTGGGGAAGGAGATGGAAAGGAGGAAATTTGAGGAGGGAGAGGAAGGAAATTTGAGGGAGGGGGGAGAGGAAGGAAATTTGAGGGAGGGGGGAGAGGAAGGAAATGAGAGGGGGGAGAAGAAGGAAATGAGAGGGGGAGAAGAAGGAAATGAGGGAGGGGGAGAAGAAGGAAATTGGAGGGGGGGAGAAGGAAATTGACGGGGGTAGGGGGAGAGATTGACATCCATCACACACACACACACAATGCACCCCTTGCACACAGAAAACCACACAATGCACCCCTTACACACAGCAACACACAATGCACCCCTTACACATACTCAGTGCATCCCTTACAGACGCACACACTGCATCTCATACATACACAAACTCACCTTGCAGCCCTTACACATACAAACACAGATTCACACAATGCATTCCTTACACACATCAGGACATCCCCCCCCCACACACACACACCCCTGTGAACAAACTCATTGGTGGAACATGAAGGTGGACCCTGGGACCCAGACCTTGAGCTGTGTAAAGGGCCCTCAAAAAAATGGAGCTGCTTCCCGTTCTCCCAGAACATTGATTTTTGTGACCACAGTTACAAACCGCCTCCAGAGAGCCTGTTCTACACCAGACCAGTGGAGCCAGACGGCAGCTAGAGCCATCATCATCCTCATCTGGTTGTAAGTAGGCAATCTAGTATATTATTCGTGGCACTAATCTCTAATTTACCTCACATTAAAGGGACACTATAGTCCCCAGAACCACTGCAGCTTAATGTAGTGGTTCTGGTGTCTATAGCCTGTCCCTGCAGGCCTTTTATTGTAAACACAGCGGCACTGCAGCACTGTGTTAGTTAACATGGCAGATCATATGGGTGGGGCATTGTGATGTCACATGGGGGGCGGCAAACTTTACTTTTGCCTAGGGCGTCAAAAATTCTTGCACCGGCCCTGCAGACACTGCATCCCTGTGGGCGGACTCTGGGGGCGGGACGGGGGGGGACTCGGGTGCAGGCACTGGGGGGCCCAGACCTTGAGCTGTGTCAGGGGCCCCAAAATATCTGATGGCAGCCCTGTGTGTGTGTGTATGTGTCATGGTGTGTGTCTGTCATGGTGTGCGTGTGTGTCTGTCAAGCTGTGTGTGTGTCTGTCTGTTATGGTATATGTGTGTGTTTAAAAATAGTGTTTTTACTAACCTTTTTTTTCCCCCACGCCGTGCTGCGGGGTAGGCATAGATTTTTTTCCAGGGTTGCTTTGTATCCCCAGTCCAGCCCTGATACACAGTACATCTACACCAGCATAAATAACGGTCTGCAGGGGGCCCGGGCCACTGTTAGTCCGTCTCTGATAGGATATACATGGGTACACTTAAATAGAAAGGGGGAAACTGTGCTAGAATGAACGCATGATAAAAGTGCTAAAAAGGTCTTGATTAAAAACACGTTGTGTCTCAAAAAAGCCTTGGTCCTTAACGGGTTAAATTTTAATTTGTTTATGTCACCATCTTTCAAGGATAAGAATTAATATAGAATTTATAGTATTCTGAAGCAAAAACACAATTTTCCCCATATCTTTCCCTTTAATGTAATACTCACAGAGCTCTATATCTTCCCATCTGTCTCATATAATACTCACAGAGCTCTATATCTTCCCATCTGTCTCATATAATACTCACAGAGCTCTATATCTTCCCGTCTGTCTCATATTATACTCACAGAGCTCTATATCTTCCCGCCTGTCTCCTATAATACTCACAGAGCGCTCTATCTTCCCGTTTGTCTCATATAATACTCACAGAGCGCTCTATATCTTCCCGTCTGTCTCATATAATACTCACAGAGCTCTATATCTTCCCGTCTGTCTCATATAATACTCACAGAGCTCTACATCTTCCCATCTGTCTCCTATAATACTCACAGAACTCTATATATTCCCGTCTGTCTCATATAATACTCACAGAGCGCTCTATCTTCCCGTCTGTCTCATATAATACTCACAGAGCGCTCTATCTTCCCGTCTGTCTCATATAATACTCACAGAGCTCTATATCTTCCCGTTTGTCTCATATAATACTCACAGAGCGCTCTATCTTCCCGTCTGTCTCATATAATACTCACAGAGCTCTATATGTTTATGGAGGTGCTAGCACAGTGATGGACTGTGTGACGTTAGATTTCTGCATCCAGTTAAATGATGTCTCTGGGCTTCCTGTTGTCTCCGTCACGCAGTGCTTGGGATTGTTTGTACTGCTGCAGAGGAGGAATGGAATCTGATGGCATGCAGCTACCCGAGAGACGACTCTAGACTCGTAGGATTTGCAGGGATTATGTAGGTGTTTGGGGGAGCTAACAGCTGGGCAGATGTGAGATGAGATTCTCTGACAATTTGACCTAATTTCTGCAACAATCATTTAACAGGATCTTTCACACTCACAGTAATGTGCAGTGTGTGTTAGGGTATCACAGAGCTCCACAGCAATACAACTCACAGTAATGTGCAGTGTGTGAAAGTGTATCACAGAGCTCCACATCAATACAACTCACAGTAATGTGCAGTGGGTGTAAATTAGTATATCACAGAGCTCCACAGCAATACAACTCACAGTAATGTGCAGTGTGTGTTAGGGTATCACAGAGCTCCACAGCAATACAACTCACAGTAATGTGCAGTGTGTGTTAGGGTATCAAAGAGCTCCACAGCAATACAACTCACAGTAATGTGCAGTGTGTGTTAGTGTATCACAGAGCTCCACAGCAATACAACTCACAGTAATGTGCAGTGGGTGTAAATTAGTATATCACAGAGCTCCACAGCAATACAAATCACAGTAATGTGCAGTGTGTGAAAGTGTATCACAGAGCTCCACATCAATACAACTCACAGTAATGTGCAGTGGGTGTAAATTAGTATATCACAGAACTCCACAGCAATACAACTCACAGTAATGTGCAGTGTGTGAAAGTGTATCACAGAGCTCCACAGCAATACAACTAACAGTAATGTGCAGTGTGTGAAAGTGTATCACAGAGCTCCACAGCAATACAACTCACAGTAATGTGCAGTGTGTGAAAGTGTATCACAGAGCTCCACAGCAATACAACTCACAGTAATGTGTAGTGTGTGTAAGTGTTTCACAGAGCTCCACAGCAATACAACTCAGAGTAATGTGCAGTGTGTGAAAGTGTATCACA